GCTGACTTAACAGTCTGCATCACAGCAAATACTACAGCATGAAATTAGAGGTGCACTTATTGACATAATTTGGGATTTTTTTGGTGCAAATATTTGTTGATTGTTCTAAAAAAAGAACAGCTCAAAACACATTGCCTTGTCCTGTTGCTCTTTCTCCAGTTATGACTGATAAATTGATAAGCACATTACATGAACTGTTTCTGCTTTCTCAAAACCACACATCAGAAATTGTGAAGCAAGTCTCCCATACCTAGATACTCTGTTGTTCCCATGATCTGCCGCAGCTCACTGGAATTCTCAAGCTTCCGAGACATACCAAAATCTACAATTTTTACATCACCAAGAGGATTGACGCTGCTCAGCAAAATATTTTGAGGCTAGAATAGAAAAGATTTCATTGTCAATTAATAAAATACAAGCTGCAAAAACCCCCAATGTACTGACACTTCAGTTTCTATTATGCAGTATTGCTAAATTCTATTTTTTAAATTATTTAATCTAATACAATCCTTTTTCTCATCACTGTTATGTATTTAACAAATGACTGATTATCATGATATTAAACTGAATAAAGTACTAAAAAGTCTGCTACAGCCTCACCTTTAAATCAAGATGAACAATATTGTTTTCATGCAAGCAGCAAAGTCCTTCAAGTATTTGTCTTATAAGTCTTACAATGTCCCTTTCACCAATTCTGTCATCCAGATCTGGGACACACAAGTCAAATATTTCTCCTCCAGCAGCACTGAAACACATTCAGGAACACTTACATATTAAGTTTGAATTTTCAAGCTCAAGCGAAGGAAAAAAATTTATATGCAGTACTTATTTATATAATTCCTATTTATATTCTCAAAGAGGCTGGGAATATTGTGATTATCACTATTTGTTTCTTTTTCGACACACACCCTCATGCCAAGACATTATATAAGCACTTAAAAAAGGAGACAAAAATTAAATCCGATTGTTTTTTCTTTCCTTATTTACAGCAACAGCAGTTGAGACACTGAAACAGAACTTTGTGGCAAAAAACCTCATAATGCCCTGGAGCATGCTTTCCAGTGAACAAGTATGAAGATGCCTTCAGGCCAATGAGTTCTATCATCACTCTCTAACAGACAAAGCCTTCTCCAAGTCAAATCTAAAATTTCTTCCATTAGATCAGTTCCATAAATAATTCAAAGCAAGAAAACCCAGCAGTATTCCTATTCTCTGAATTTAGAAATAAAAGTAATATTTTTTTTTAATATGATGTGACTGTGATATAAATGTAAGAACTACAATGCAATGAACAGCTAGAGTTGCTGAAAAGTATTTTTGGAGTGGGAAGAAACTGCATACTTGTCACCCTAGGCCCCGCCTCTTTGATGGAAAACTGAAAATCAGAGAGGTACCAGGAAGAAAATCTAGCATGCTGCTGCTGATTGAACATACAGTTAGTGAGCAGCATCTTCCAGAACTCTACTAGACACAGAATATTCAGAAATACAAGGACTCACCTCTATCACTTGAAAAATCTACCATTCCAACACTAACAACAAATATGACACTGACAAATTTCATATTTTCACACAGTGTCTCAGATATAACTTCCTCAGGAAAAGGCTGTTGTTTGCTTACAGAAAACTCTGCTTTTTGTACAGCATAAAAGAACCATGGAAATAACCATGTTGCATCTGGTTTATTAGTTATACTTCTACACTTTGCCACAGCGTCAGCTGTTTCCTTTCATGCTGGGCTTGAAATAGTTATTCAGTGTGCTTGAAGCTGCTTGAAGTTTGTGTCTCTTAGGGATAAAGGATTACCTCAAAATTACAGATCAGTAAGCCTGGCTTTCGTTCTTAGCAAAATGATAGATTCTATTAATAAAGTCAGATAACGGACAACATGGATAAACAGTCACTAACCTGCTGGAGCTACGTGAGGTTTCAGTAATGCCTCCCCTAATTGTCTTTATGACAAAATGTAGACAAGGGGAAGTGCAGTGGATGTAATTTGCTTCAACTTTAACAAGGTTTCCAGCACTGTCTCCCTTAGTATTCTTATAACCCAATTACTACAGTATGGTCTGGATGGATAAACAGCTCTGCTGAAAAGAATTTGGGCACCCTCACAGACAGTGAGCAAAGAATGCAGCAAAGGTGGTCTGCAGCATGTTGGGCTGTAATAACAGGAGCACAGCCAGTAGGCTGAGGCAAGTGAATCTACCCAGCACACTAGATCACAGCTAGAATGCAGCATCAAGAAATTGGTTCAAGGAAGACATTAACAATAAAGTTCAGTGTCAACTGCAAAAGCAAATACAAGAGCACCAGATGACTCGTAGCATATCTTCAGAAAAGTAACCTAATAGAATCTTACACAATGCCAAACTTGAACTGGCAGGTACAGGTCAGGAAATTAATTGACAGTTCTTGGAAACAATTGCACCAATGCGCAGAGCAGGCAAAACAAAAGCTAACATACATGGTTATCATCAGGAAGCCTACTGGGGATCAAAAGCAGCGAAATTATGCTCAGTATAAAACCTTAGCGTGTAGTTCTGGTTTCTGTATCTTCCAGAAGCATGTAATATTAATGAAGATATAGAGAACGGCAAGTAAAAGAATGGCAAGTAAGACGACAGATAGTTGCTTTACAAGAAGCAGCCAAAGAGACAACTCTTCACTTTGGATAGAAGATTGTGAGGGTGTCTATGAATGAGGCTTACAAAAACTAAAGCTGGATTAGAGACAAAAAAAGAACTGTTATTCACCAGATCCCACAATATGAGAACTAGGAGGCACCTGATGAAACTAGCTGATCAGTTTAAATCAGATAAAAGGAAGTATTTCTTCACACAGTAGGTAATGAACATCTAGAATTTGTTACCACCAAAGCAGATGGTATCACCAAGTTCAAAAAAGGACAAAACAGATTCACAGACTACAAGTCCATAAACAGATACCAAAAAGAACAGGCAGAGAGATATTATCAGTACAATACCTCTGGTTGCTGGTGCAGTGCAAAGAGAATGGACAGAAAAAAGCAGACAAGCTCATATGCTCTTTAGGCTCTTCTTAAATAGCATCTCCCTACAGTCACTGCTGGAAATGGCAACAGATTAGACAGATCACTGATGCAACTCTGTAGGGCCTTTCTTAGTTCTTTAACAAACAAAAGTAGATTTGAAAATTAGTACAGCTGCCAGGTTTTTCTTTGAATAACTGGATTCCTCCAATTATCTCTGGCCCTCAGATTGTAAGCGTAACAACCTCTGTTGTGGGGCTTTTGAAGAAACATTCATGTCTTTAGGAATCCCCTCTACAAGGATGGCCTTACTAAGAACGAGCCTCCATTCTTCTCCTTTATTTAGAAAATGTGCACTTACACAAACTGATTCTTACTACGACATCTTCCAAAGAACCCCACCAATACAATCCAACAACAGCGAGGACCACATGTAGGAGGAAAAATATGGCTAAAGAGGAAATGCTTATAAAATATTTTGAGTCAGAGATTAATTTCTTGCAGTTCTTTTAAAGTACTGCTTCAGAGTTCTGATGAGAAACAAAAAAAAAATCTGTGCATTCTGCTACAGAAGGTCGTAATTTAGAAGGGTAATCAGCCCTCTGCTTACCCCAGCAGAAACAGGAACACTTACTGCATGACTTCTGAACACTACTACAAATCATTAAAACCATTAAACATCATTAAACACCAATGTAGTGTGAGGAAGTTGTTTCATTACAGAACTTTTATAAGCAAGAGTGAGCGAGCTGACCAGAAACAGAAGCCATAACATCAGTCTGGCTTTTATATGAAATTGGACGTGTTCCCAAATTCAACTTGTTTTCAGAGCCAATGAGAAGCCACAGGGACATATAAAGAGATATGGCAATTTTGGAGGAAACAGCTCCAAAAGCCAAAGAGTTTTAAAACAACAAAAACACTAAATTTAGAAGTTCAGAACCTGCAAGGGAATTGCAAGTTTTCAATCACCAAAAAGCATCAAGTGGTGACTGAAGTTCACAGAACATGGACTTGCTCAGCTTTTGAGATCTGTGTACTTGGTATGAGTAGCTACTTTTTTTTTGGTATGATTTAATATGCATCAAAGCACTATACACTGCTTATGGGATTCAAGAACATTCTCTTCAGTCAGCTTGCATGAAAGACTTTAAGAAGAAAAAAAACTATTAAAAAAATTACACCTTAGAGGTTATATTCAGGTTTTACATTAGTTTAGCCTGAAAACTGATCAGAGCGTTTAAAAAAAAAAAATCAAATGAGCAGAAGAAATAATCTGCTCAAATTAAACAGGCAAGTTTTAATCAAAATTACCCTCCTGAGATAGTATTTAAAGGCACAAAAATTATTTCCGTTTGAAACTAAAATTGTCTACGAAATTAAGTAATGCAGTGAAAAGAAATAAGAATCTCTATTTTTTAATAGCTTTTTGAAAAAAACCCTGTTTAGTCCATTTTTTAAAATTGTGTAGAGAACTACTATGGCTTTTGGTGTATTTAGTTTTATGCCTTATTCCATATTGTTTGGCATAACTCATTAGCTGTGGATGTAACAAAACACAGGTATAAAACCAAAGATTCAACTTAACAGCAATTGATTCAACTCTTGCATTTACATGAAATTAAATCATACCAAAAAAGTCCCTAAGAGCTTATAAAGTATATAATAATGAAATATTAGCATAGTGTATATAGCATCCTGCTGTAATTCTTCTGAGTGTTCAGGCAACTCATGCAAAAAAATGTGTGTATTGACAGACTGGTAACTACAAACATGGAATATCTGATGAAGGCATACTTACTATTCCAACACTAAGATGATTTCATTTGCTGTTTCATAGACTTCATGGAGATTAACTATGCGAGGATTAGATTTCATTAATTCAAGTACAGCGATTTCATGAAGAATCTCTGCTTTGCAGTCTTGACCTCTCCTTCTTTTCTTTAAAAATTTAGCTGCATACTCTTGGCCTGTGGATTTAGCTATACATTTTCTAACCACAGCACATCTTCCTCTACAAAATAAAAGGGAAAACATTAAGACCTAAGACATTAAAAAAGTACGTAAACTACCATTAGAAATAAAAAGGTATGGCAACTCACTGGAAACTAAAAAAATAAATAAATAAATACATTATCAGGGAAATGCCACATTTGGCCTGTTCTAACACTATTCCCTGAGCATGCACTTCCAGCCACTGTTGGAGAAGTGATCCTAAGCTAGATGAAGCATAGGCAAGACGCAGTACAATTCCCTTTACACAGGCTAGCTAAGCACTGTATCACAGTATCAGGTTACATGCACATTCTCACTGTAGGATCACAAAATCATAGAGTAACTTGGGCTGGAAGGGACTTCCGGAGGTCTCCAGCAAAACCTCCTGCTTAAGGCAGGGCCAGCTATGAGATCCCACCAGGCTGCTCAGGACTTTGTAGGACTTTGTTCAGGTTGGCAATATTATATTAAAAAACCCTCAACCACATTATAGCACCTACAGCATACAGTAATGAACAAAGCAAACTCCTGTGAAATGTAGAGAATGAACACAGAAAATAAAGCATATTTGTATGCTGGGGTGGGGGGGAAGGGGGGAAGGTCTTCAGTGCAAAAAATTTAAGAGAATTTCCCTCCACAAATCATGTAGTGCTGCTAAGAAAAAAGTCCAGGTATCTAAAATGCTTAAAAATATCTTAACAAAAACATCCAGTTTTTTCGGCATTCTCTCTCAATTACAGTTAAACAAAGTGTGCTGCTTTCTTTCCTGGCCAGCTCTTTAGGTATGGAAACAAAAATGTATTTTGGCAAAGAAATATTTTTAAGAGAAAACCACACACTGTAGTTCAAACACCAAGGTGACCTTTTAAAAAAATTAGGGGAAAAAAAAATGCAGTTTAAGCCAAGTTATAAACTCTTGAAAAAAAAAATTATAATCACAAGTTTTGCATTCCCAGAAATACCTAATGGCATACTTGCAAAGTGGTTTCAAATGACACAAGAAACATTATTAAAAAAACCCAAAAAAACACAAAAAAAACCTGAAAAACCAAAGCAAAACAAACAAACAAAAACCAACAAAAACTTGAAGGGCTAAAATAAAATGTGCAAAGTTCTAAAAACAGTTCTAAAACCACGTACAAAGAATGAGAGCTACACTTACATCTTCAAAAAACCAATGCCTTTCCATGCATGTTTTTTGTTATCACGGCATTCTAAGAACAAACTTGATGAAGCAGCTCAGTATAAGCTACCTGATATGCTCTTTTTCAATTAAATTAGCTTCTTTAGTAGAAAAGACTATGTTCCCCTGCAGGCTTTGCCTTTCTTCTGGTGAAAAACCCCAACGCCTAAGAGGAGCATATCAAAAAGAAAAAAAAAAGGCATGTCTGAGGCTTTTCTGAAACATCTAGACTTCGGGATCCAATCAGAAAAGGTATAAGCATCTAATGAAAAAAACAGATTTCCATTTGCAAGTAACCGTATGTTAGACAGTTTGTACAAACGTGACTAAATTATTAAATCACAGAATCACAGAACGTTGGGGATTGGAAGGGACCTCAAAAGCTCATCCAGTCCAATC